GTAACTTTTAATAACTGAATAAACCGTGATAGTTGTTGTATACATGTTGATATTTTTTATATTATGTAACATACTGAAAGGAAGGCCGCCGCTTCTGTCTGTCCCGTGCATGGGGGATTTGAAGATATTTTCTTTTCCTTTTTCCTTTTCTTAGGTTAATTAATTGGTTCAAAAAACTTAAAAATCAACGGCTCAAATTTATACACTTCAGATTAGCCGCAACCCCTCTCAACTGTCTCGGTTGATTTTGTGGAGTACCGATCCATGCTTAGTTAGGCGTGTGTCATGTTCTAGTTTTCAAATAATTTTATTCTCAACATGGTGTGATATCAATATAAGAGTATTTGTTAAATTATATATGCTCAGAAGTGGCTATGTGGGGTGTCAACGACATCCTCGTTGTCAGACGCCAATCAGAGTAGAGGGAGAGGGAGAGATGTTAGCCGAGGTTAGCTCTGTCTTGAATAGAAAGTAGAGTGTTTACAGAATTCAACCGTTACACTCTCTCACTCGCCCTCTCTATTGGATATGACGTTATAGGCCCACTACGACCCATACACTCTGGTGCTCTTGGACCGGGCCCTCTTGCTCTTGCTGGGCTGCGGTGTTCCTGGGGATGTACCTAGATGAGAGACTGACGGACTGTGACATGGGGACAGCGCATGACCGCCTCACCGGTGAATTCTACTATATTCATCGCTGGTCACTGGTCAGTCCTCATCTTTTTCTTACCAGGAGCTTCTCGGTGATCCTTCGATAATCCACAGTACAAATTTGAACATACACACCTCTTGCATTCCATCAAAATCAACACCACCATAATCATTTCTCTTCACACTACATATCCATTATGCAAAGTTATTAGTTTGTCCATCTATTTCAAAACCACAAACCATGATTGTCACAAAGTTGGATTTCAAATCTAAAAAATATACAAAATAAACATAACTAGATGCTATTGCTCCATGTTCAATACTAACAAACCTACCTCATGGTCTCAGTTTGGAACCTAAGCCACACAAACATCTCATGGCAGAATATTAACTAGTCATCAAATCTGGACCTACATTTGATTGCAATTCATGCTACTACACATAATCTACTCAAACCTTCCACGGATTTAGCATTTCATCCACAAAACATGAACTAAACTACCACACAACTAAAATTAGGGTATGCAAAAAAAACATTTCAAAAAGACAAAATCAACGTGTACAAATTAAGGGAGAGAGGGAGTATACCTTGATATAGAAAGATCTTAAACTCAATCGAAGCTTCAACGGTCTATTTGAGAGATCCAAAGAGTGGCACATAGGCGGGCCAGGCCGGCATCCAAGCATGCAGCATCTGACTTGGGCCCTAGTGGGATGGCCCAGCCTGGCCGCGAGGATATGGCCTAGACCTGGTCGTTGTGGGCCTTGGCACCGAGAGAGTTGGCACTGACTATTGCCGCCATGTCAGCTCGCCATGCGAGCCACGTCATATAACTCAGCGCGAAATGATATATTGTCCAAAGAAAGGCAACGGCATGAAGGTCTGAGCTCCATTTCTGCAAATCGTTTCTCCGGGAGTATAACCATGAAAATATACCTAAAGTAGGGGCTAAAATCCAAAATTTAGATGAACTTTGACGTCCTCTTCGGCGAAACACTAGCAAACTGTAAGTAGTTCCATTTTCTATCCAAAAACATCATTGCAGAAACACTACTAATGTTAACACAGTTATCACTACCAGATGTACGAAAGATATCCATTTGAATATTAAGAAGATTATCACTCACGAGGTTTCTTTCATGTGAGCTGCATCCTGCATGCTAAAAATTGCTAATGGTTCAAGAGAAACCTGAATACAAGGTAAAGAGGCAGCTGTTATATCTGACCATTAGCAAACTGTACTTTGTCAGTGATGCACCTTTTTAGTTTTAGTCGATCCCACCCTTCAGTAATCAGTACTTCAATTTTGTTTTATGCTCTTATATCGACCACATTTTCTGAAACAAATGTTCTGAGCTTTTTATGCTCTTACTTATATATATATAACCTTATCCGTTATCACCCAGTGAAATCAAGCTGCGCCACTGAAAAAAAAACATTAGCATTCAGCACATTTGTTTTTTCTGTATTAGTTATATTGTACTACTGCTATCTATTCCTTATAAAAGCTTGTGGCAATGAATTACTTCATGTTTCTTCATGCATCATTTGACTCTTTCCTTATTTGAGGATTCGCTGATAATAATGCTTTGCAAGAGTGATCCATGATCTCTTGATTCTGTTCTGCTCTGCTAACAATTGTACTTAGATAATCCCTTACATGTATGGTAACTACAGGTTTCACAGTACATAATTTTTGCACCTGTAATATGAAATGTTTTATTCACGCTCTCATTTATCTCTGTATGTATATCAGGGTACCAACTTCCAAGAGCTATCAGTCACATTGGCACCTGTAATATGAAATGCTTGGTTTCATCTAACCTCCACACTCTTCTTCAGCAATGCAATGCAGATAAACTCAGTGCTCTACAATTCCGGAGTAGAAATTACTCTAGAACTTCATTTTTCTAGAACAAGTCATAAATATTTATGTACAGCTCAGATTACAAATCAGGACATTAACACTATATTTGGACACAATCCGCTCTTCCTAACCTCTGCCCCACCGCATTTGAGATTCACAAAACATGGCTTCACAATGGGAGGCACTCCACACAGGAACGCGGCAACGCCGCGCTTTGTTTTCTAGTAGGCTTTAGTGCCGACCTCAGCGTCATTCGGCTTGACGCCGACGCTTGGGCCCTGGTGGGATGGCCCAGCCTGGCCGCGAGGATATGGCCTGACCTGGTCGTTGTGGGCCTTGGCACCGAGAGAGTTGGCACTGACTATTGCCGCCATGTCGGCTCGCCGTGCGAGCCACGTCATATAACTCAGCGCTAAATGATACAGTGTCCAAAGAAAGGCAGCGGCATGAAGGTCTGAGCTCCATTTCTGCAAATCGTTTCTCCGGGAGTATACCCATGAAAATATACCTAAAGTAGGGGCTAAAATCCAAAATTTAGATGAACTTTGACGTCCCCTTCGGCGAGGGTCATCTGACTTTTTTTTAAGGGTAGGGTCATCTGACTTTGGACACTGCTCTGACGTGGATTTAGTATAGGATTTCGTGCTTTCTCGACAGTAAGTGACGTGACGTATGGCGACGGTACTATGATAGTAGCAGAGGATGATGCGGTGCGACGGTGGAGCAGCTCGCCAACACCGCTGCAGCAGGCGGCCGTAAACTGCACAAAAGGCTCAACACCGATGGGCGCTGGCTACTTGATAAAATGGGACCAAAATTTCTATTTTTGAGACGATCAAGCACCAAAATTCTTGTGGATTGTTCTGTGGCGGCCGAGAGATAAGAGTTATCCGGTTCCCAACTTTCAACTCTCTCGTTTGATTCCGCGGAGGACTGATGGATGCTCAGTAATGGCCACGGTACAGATCGAGATACTGACTAGTGGGGAAAGTGACCACCTCACCGGTGACCTCATCTTTTTTTTCTTACAAGCAGCTTCGCTCGTCCTTCGCAATAATCCATACAAATTTAAACCAGCTCCCTTGCTATTTTATGGCTGATGTTGCAAACATTTAATACAAACAGAGGGTACTACATTTACAGACTAGCAAATACAGTACAGTAGAACAAAAACATCGCGTACAGTATATATACACATGATAACAGCGACTCTCGATCTGAACCTCCATCCTAAGACGATAGGTTGCAGGCAGTGCAAGATTGTCTCCTATTGAGGCCTTGAGGGTTTGAAGGTACATACACACGGTTTTGCGCGAGAAAGTCGTGAATGAAAGCGTGAAAGAGAGACGGTAACACGCTACCTACCTTTGCTTAGAGGTTAGACGCAAGATTGAAAAACAAAGACGGCTTTTTATTATTAAAAAAGATCTTATACACGGAGCTTAGTAACTGCCGGCAAGATCTTGTGTCACTGACGCGGCATGTACAGAACACAAGAACAAAGCTAGCAGAAGTGCAGAACCCAAAGCAACCGTGGCGATGGCCATGAACCATACAGTACCAAACTGACAACAACATCCCGCCTGGACGACAGGCGGGACGCCACCTTCAAGACGACCGATCGAACATCTCAGTGAGCAGCGTCGGCAGCACCCACACTGCGGCCTTGGCCTTGATCCTGTCCGGAGCCGACGACCCCGCGCGCGTGGCCTGCAAATTCGCGGACCAAGAGCCAGACCAGCGCCAGGAGAGCCGCATGAGTGACGAGCACGCACGTCGTGGAGACCAGGTTGTTGCGGGCCTTGTGAATGGCGAGAGCCATGTCGCAGTTCACGACGCCCAGCGTGAGCAGCGTGGTGAGCGGCCACACCGCGCGCCTCGCCCGCTCCCGCGCCGGGGAGCCGGGGGCCGCCCGCTCGTAGTCTCGTAGGCAGCGGAAAAGGAGCAGCAGGGTGGTGTACGACGCGATGACGAAGATCGTCGCGGCAGCGTCTCCCCAAGACCTGTGGATCGCGAGTATCGAGTTCGCTGTGAGGAGAATGAACCCTAGAGCTGTGGCCATCAGTGGCGCCATGTCGACGCTACTATCCTAGGTACGATGAAGGAACAAATGTTCCCGATGGAGGAGCAGGCTGCGTACGTTCTTATTATATATTATATAGGATAATAATGGGAGATATACGTTGTGCCTTAACAGGGAGTAAGCTAAGGTATATAGAGGAGATTACTACCTAACAAGCAGGCCGGCCGAAGAACGGGTCAAAGCAACTTATGATTCGGACGCCGACCATATCGTAGGGAGCAAGATATCGAAAGAATGAACAGTCATTTCAGTACGTGTACGTTGGGCCCAGTTTATATATATATATATATGGGGAGAGTATATTCAGGAGTCAGCTAAAAAATAAGTTATTCTGTAGTCACCTGTATTTACGATAATTTTATATAATAATTTACGATAATGTCAATACATATTTACGATAGTTGGGTTACTATAACACATGGGGATATTTATCATAATGTTATAGTAAACCGCTATACATATTTACGATAGTTGGGTTACTATAACACATGGGGATATTTATCATAATGTTATAGTAAACCGCTTAGTAAGGAGTTACTGTAATCTCGTAAATTAACATAGTAATTATCGTAACTCAAAGTGACTACCGAATAAGTTATTTTGTGTGTGTATATATATATATATATATATATATATATATATATATATATAATCATATTTTCTACGGAGTACCTTAGAGAGCAAGCTGTGGCGACAGGCGAGTCGCCTCGAGTTGGCCGCCTGACCTGTGGATTGCGATGGCCGAGTTGCATGTCAGCAGGAGGAATCCCAGGAATGTTGGCCACCATGACGCCATGATATGATCCTAGCTGTTTGCGTATGTGTGTTACTGCGTTGTGTTTCTGCAATCAATGACATGGCGCCGTCGATGTAGCTAGGAACATATATATATATATATATATATATATATATATATATATATATATATATATATATATATATATATATATATATATATATATATATATATATATATATATATATATATATATATATATATATATATATATATATATATATGTATATGTGTGTGTGTGTGTGATATTGTATAGTATATTACTCTCTCCGTTCTAAAAAAATTAAAGCCTGTCATGATTTTGTCTTCTTTGCCATTTGCCCGCTGCCCGCCAACCAGTGACGAAGCCAGCGGTGGGGCTAGGGGGCTTCAGCCCCCTCTATCGATCCTGAGCACGTGGAGTTTCCCTAAATCCTCCCTTAAAATTTTATGCATACATGTATTAGGTAGGAGGAGCTAAAGTTTAAAAAAAATAAAAAAGTCTCTATTATTTTGTTCAGCCCCTCAATTTTTTCTGAGTTCGTCACTACCGCCAACGTAACAGCCAACTTCGTGCCGATCGGTGCGGTGTGACAACCACTCACGGGCACAAGGTCCTACTCCACGTCTGACTAATAAAGAATAATTATTTATATTGAGTTATATGTTATTATTGTTCCATGCTAGTGCGTTGCAACAAATAAATCTAAGATAATAAGATGAGCATAGAAACATAATGCTTTGAGGTTCGGATCTTATCGATATGTTGTTTTTAGCTAAGCATTACTTTACCATGAGTATCAAACAGCACTGAAGAACTAACACTAAAATATATGATTTAAGTTTGTCTTTGAAACACTAGTATTTATTTTAAAATGTTTTGTTGTGATGTGCCTTAGATACTAGAAGAATGCTCCGCGCATTGCTGCGGGAATTGCAAGTGAAATTTTCTTATATGAACGAATAAATATCATAATACATGTTAGTGGAAAATTTAGGACGAATTTTATCCATCCTCTGAACCGTTGTTCTACCTACCCAATCAATGCTCTTATCAAGTCAAAAGTTTTGTTAAGCACAAGCGTTAGTTAAGATCTCAAGGTTCAATAATCTCATCCTGGCCAACAATTTAGCATGATATAGTACTTCACACCAGCATATACTGATATACTCCACAGAGTAAACACAATTACAATACACCAAGTTCTCTCGACGATCAATCATCCAAGGTAGAGATAATATAGTACTTCATATAACAGCATACTTAACAAAAAAAACACATAATTATTTTAATTAAAATCCCGTCTGTTACAATTCCCATATCTAACTCTCTATAAGAGTCCAACCGAAACAAGGAAACTGGCTAATCCTGAGCTAAACAAATTGATACAACTACGTGCACAATCTCGACGTGCACGCTGGTGCTGGTCAGCCACTCTCCATGCGCGTCGGGTCTTCAGGCTATGGGTGACGTCTCCTGTTGCGGCGTGTGAGCTTCTTGCCGCACATTGACAATAATACATTACGTCACCCAAAAGGAGGCGGATAGTCCGATGATGCCACCGGAGCCCTCTACAGAAAAGATAGGGTTTCACAGAGTGCACCAGACGCTGGTCTCAACTAGACCGGAGCGTCCGGTCAGTGGAAGCAGTGAAGACGCTAGCGTCGGTCTTCGACCGGACGCTAGGTCACTTCGTGACCGGACGCTGGCTGGCTGCGTCCGGTCCCACTGACGTGGCAGTGCACAGAGAAGACTGTGAGTGACCGAACGCGTTCGGTCATGAATTTCCACCTCTGGAAGTTTACTGGAAGTGACCGGACGTTGGGGTCCTGCGTCCTGTCGTGATCAACCGAACGCGTCCGGTCGCGAGTGGAACCTTACTAGAAACGATCGGACGATGGTGTTGGCGCGTTCGGTCACTTCGAAGTAGTGCGTCCGGTCACAACTTAAATGTACTGATGACCGTTGAGATCGGACGATCAGTGTTTAAAGCAGGGGACACGTGGCATGCATCGCGCGACCGGACGCTGGGGTCCTACGTCCGGTCGATCTGACCGGCGCGTCCGGTCGCCCCGACTTTTCAGAGAACAGAGGATCAAAAGCTCTATTTCGTGGGGGCTGCTATTTAAGCCCCATGGCCGACTCAAGCTCACACTCTTGGCCATTTACATTGGCATAGCAACCTTGTGAGCTTAGCCAAAGCCCTCCCACTCATCTCCATCATTGATTCATCATCTTTGTGAGATTGGGAGAGAATCCAAGTGCAATGCTTGAGTGATTGTATCTAGAGGCACTTGGTGTTTGTGTTTCGCTGCGGGATTCGCTTGTTGCTCTTGGTGGTTGCCACCACCTAGACGACTTGGTGCAGCGGAGGAGGATTGGCATGAGTTGGTGATTGTTCGTGGCCATCTCCCGGTGATTGTGAGGGGTCTTGTGCCTTCCCCGGCGGAGCGCCAAAAGGTAACTCTAGTGGATTGCTCGTGTCATTGAGTTACCTCACTTGTGGGTAGGTTCTTGCGGTGTCCAATTGTGTGGACGAGGTTTGTGCAACCCACTTAGCCGCCGAACCACCAAGTGTTGGTCGACACAACGGGGACGTAGCGTGTTCGCAAGCACGTGAACCTCGGGAGAAAATTGGTTATTTCTTGCCCTTTGGTATTCTCCTGGTGATTGATTTAGTGTTAATCTTGTGATTGGTTCACTCCTCTACACGGCGGTATAATCATCCTACTCACTCATTTATATTCTTGCAAACTAGTTGTAGCAAGCTCTTTAGTGTAGTTAGAATTGAGAGCTTGCTTTGTTGTTTTGAGTTCATCTAGTGGAGCTCTTTAGTGTAGCAAGTGTGAGAGCTCTTAGTGAGTAGTGACTTAGCAAATTGAGTGTTTAGTGATCGTAGTAACTAGAATTATTGGATAGGTGGCTTGCAACCCTTGTAGAGCTAGAGCAAGTTTGTATTTCGCTATTTGTCATACTAATCAAATTGCTCTAGTTGGTCTGTAGATTTTTAAATAGGCTATTCACCCCCCTCTAGCCATATTAGGACCTTTCACCTACGGGGCTGAAACAGTGTTGCCCTCCGACCTCGACCACGATGCCCCAAGAGTGAAGGCCTTCGACCGCGACCGAGCCACGGAGGCTCAGCAGGACGCGGTCGACTTGCTCGAGGAGGCCTGCGAGATGGCCGTCATCCGCTCCGCTCGCTACCAGCAAACTCTCCGCAGGTACCATGAAAGGAAAATCAGATGCAGGATCCTCGAGGTCGGAGACCTCGTACTCCGAAGAACCCAATCAACCAAGGAAAAACACAAACTCTCTCCCCCATGGGAAGGTCCCTATACGGTGACCGAGGTGATCTGACCGGGCGCCTATCGACTAAAGGACGACAACGACAACGTTCTCACCAACACTTGGAACATCGAACGGTTACGTCGTTTCTTCCCTTAAAAATTCGGTCTTACCGTTTTCTTTCATTCAACGTTCGCTCCTACAAAGCACCCCAGCCCGAACACTTTTGGCCTGGGTCACTCGGGGGCTCCACGAGGGTGCGATACCACCTCTCTTTTTTTACTATCATATAGTAAATACTTTTTGCCCGAATGAAAGGGTAGTCCGCTCCTTTAATTACCCTACGTAACTTTGTGTTAAACTCCCGATCGATCATACCCCGCCACGACCTACGGTTACGAGCAGCTGAGCCTCGCGGGCCACGCCCGGGTTCTTAAGGTTGTAGCCTACGGGTCAAACAGGCAGGTACGAAAAAGAAAGGATAAAAAACAGAGCTATGCTAGGGTAAAAACAAAGAACGGATGGGACAAGCTTCCCCTCACAAAGTGATTCATCACAAAACAAAATTGATGTATTCATAAATACAAACTGTTCATACAGAGGCTTCCCCATGAACTTATCCCTTACATATGCTGATTACTTCTACTCTAAATACTACTATGGCTGCCCGACGGCATCGGCTGACGGTGCGACCGACGAAGATAAGGGCTGCTCGCTCTCCGATGGGGCGACATTCGGATCGGTCGGAGGCGGGATGACGCTCGCTTTCTACCCGGCCACCACTCCATCCACAGGCTGGGTAACGTCTTCTTGACGCACGCCTTCAGCCACGCTCGCACGGCGAGCCTCCATCACCCACTACGTGGAGACTTGCTCGACCACCATCTGTGCGCATGGTATCAAGCTCTCCCCGAGCGCATGGATGGC